AGAATATTATCTAATGTAATGTGTAGTAAACTCCCACTAAGTATTGAATTTTAACATCAAAGTAGTTTTCAAAAAATATGTGTTTTTGTTTTGTTTTGAGACAGAATTTCGCTCTGTTGCCAGGCTGGAGTGCAGTGGTATGATCTCGGCTCACAGCAACCTCCACCTCCCAGGTTCAAGGCATTCTCCTGCCTCAGCCTCCCGAGTAGCTGGGACTATAGGTGTGCACCACTGTGCCCAGCTATTTTTTTTTTAATTGTATTTTTAGTAGAGATGGGGTTTCACCATGTTTGCCAGGATGGTCTTGATCTCCTGACCTTGTGATCCATCCACCTCAGCCTCCCAAAGTACTGGGAATACAGGCATGAGCCAACCGGCCCAGTCAAAAAATAAGTTGTTTTAATGAAATTAATTCACGCATCATTATGTGGGACTATAGGCAAGTTTGATACAGTTATCCCAGAGGCTACTGTGGTCCCTGTGTAATACTATTGGACGTGAAAAAAGAATGTTTACTTCCAGGATTCATAACACAGAATAAAGACGAAAACCTTAAGTAGGTATTGTGCTTCAATAGAGTAGCCTACAGCCTGTTAAATCCAATTAATAAACACAATGAACACATTCATTTTTTTTTTTTTTACTTTTAAGCAAAGTTACTGAATTTGTTCTATTTGCTGTTTTGTATTTCTGATTACAAGATGCTGTCCCCTGCTGTTTGCTAAAGATTACACCAGTTACAGTCACAAACATATAGTGAAATAAGATGATAGTTTTGTTTAATGACTCATGTCTACAAATCAGAGAGGAATAAAGGTAGAACTCTGCCTGTCCATAGAACAAATCTGGAATGCTAGCACTGTGCCCCCACTTCTCCCAAGGCATGTCATTTCAAAAAGCATTTTGTCCTCTCCATGCCTATGGTAACTAGACGGGCTAATGGGGAGGGTGGTGGTGTAATATTATTTCTTCTAAAAGAGCTTTTGTGAAGATTTTCACTTGAATACATACTCTGTCATTGTTAACAGTACCTGGCAACCTCTACTGCATACATATTTATAATTATGTTTTCTCTTTCAGCAGCAATTTGGTTTGCATGTGTACTTTCATGACAGTTAGCTTGTTTATCACTTATTCCAGTTCTCTTTTGAGTAAGGTCATTCAGTGACAAACGTGGGAGTGCCATCCTCTCAAACAGTTACAAATTCATGCCTGGCATTCAGTGAAGAAAATGACAGCCTGCATGTTGATAACTGACATAGAGGTGTTCCCCATGTAAACCAAACCTAGATGTTGTAGAAGAATTGGCATTGAGAAGACCTGGGTTCAAATTCTGACTGTGTCATTTTCCAGGTTTGTGGCTTTAGGCTTCATTGTTTCCATCTTCAAAATCTCTCGAGGGTTGTTTTGAGAATTAAATAAGGTGATATATATGAGAAGTATAACCAAAAAAATGCCCTGTGGATTCTCAATAATTACTGGTTCAATCTAAATATAAAAATAGAAGCCACTCGACTAATTCAAGGTCATATATATGAATGAGTCAGTGATGTGGGTAAAGATACTGCTGGAGGGGAAGGTTAACAGGAAAGGGAAGCTATTCCTTTTTCCTTTTAGCCAAATAGTACTTATCTGTCCCTGCTGCTTTGCCTAATAGATTAATTCATTCTGATAGTATTAAAGATGTCTGGTAGATAGCTAATAATCGGCTCTAAAAAAACAAATCATTGGTCCTTCCTTTGCTGTCAAAAATCCCTAAAAAGAAAATTTTCATTTCAAATGGCTTCTAGCTTACTTCGGAATCAGAGGATAGGTTCCTTTGAAGCTATCGAGTGCACCTAGTGAATGTACTTTTTAATCGTTTATTAGTGGATAAACTATAATTGGCATATAAGGGTCAGAGCTTCAAAACACAAATTAAAGTCAACTGTCCACTAGTGTTTTGAATCAATCAATGCAGCATTCATTTAAAAATAGAAGCAATGCCATTAACCCTCAAGAAATTCACATTTTGATGTAATTCATAAGATCAAAGCTCTCCAAAGATGGAGAAATTACAATAAATCACAATCCATGTGTTAGGAAAAGTCTTTCCCCTTGCATGTATTGACATCTAAAATGCACATTACAGCATGCTTTTAATATGCAAAGAACATTACAGATGTAATTTTTTTTAACTCTGAGCAAGGAAATATGCATGTACACTAAAGGGAACAGAAAAGAAGAAAAACAGCATTTTGTATGAACTTGGATATGCTTCTGATGTTCTCTTAATAAACCTTTTCTCCTTTCTGTCTAATGCTACCTTCCATTATAATTTACTCACTTTCTTTAAAACTTTTTTTAAACCAAGTACATATCCTGTTCTCTCAAAAATAAAATCAGCACAAAGATCATTACTTTGGGCACACAAAACAGAAACATTTCTTTAATCTATCCCACATATATAGTATTGTTTGAATTATCATTCCTAATTTTATTTCATTCATATCTCAAGGTTACATACATAAATTACACAAAGTGATTTATTTCATTCATATCTCAAGGTTACATACACAAATGCCCATAGGTTACTGAAAGGGCCTTATGATAATTATACAGTGGAGAAAGAAACCAAGACAAATATAATATTAATAGCATTATTTTGTTGTCTCAGTCCTTTCTAAGAAGAGCCAGTGATTTCAAAATATGCCAATGATTTTAATGCAAGTTGATGGAAAAGTCCACATCCTAGAGCAGGGATGTTGGAATTGAGTTGTCAAGCTGTCCTGGATGTCTTGTACAAACTGAACAGGCCAATTTACTGCAACACTGCATAGGCTGAAGGCTACTATCTGGCCTTTACAGTTGCTTCTTCCTGGTGAGATTATCCTGCTCGACCTCAGCCTCCCTCCCCAGTTGCTTTTAAACTATTCAGGATTCTTTCTGATGAGGCTGTTCTTTTTTTTTTTTTTTTTGAGACAGAGTCTTGCTCCTGTTGCCCAGGCTGGAGTGCAATGGCTCACTGCAAACTCCGCCTTTTGGGTTCAAGCGATTCTCCTGCCTCAGCCTCCCGAGTAGCCATCACACCTGGCTAATTTTTGTATTTTTCCTAGAGACGGGGTTTCACCATGTTGGTCAGGCTGGTCTCGAACTCCTGACCTCATGATCCACCCGCCTCAGCCTCCCAAAGTGCTGGCATGTGTGAGCCACCGCACCCAGCTAAGTAATAGTAATGTGTTAATCCTCACCTTGACACTAGTGTGCTTGACCATAGAGGGCAGAGGCTCTTCCCCTGCAATCTGAAACAACAGCTTTGTGTGCTTGGTGATGATTTTGAATCTTAGTGGTGGTTTGATTTTAATGTCTTCCTCTTTGTAGCTCAAAACTCCTGGATTTCTGGATGAAAACAGGCAGGCTTTTCGAAAAAAGAACAACAACAACAACAAAAAAAAAACCACCTGACTTCTCCCACACAGCCTGAATTTCTTTGCCTATTACAAACCTCCCAGCGTGGGGGTTTTGCTTTGAGACTCAGCTGTTCCATCTCTGCCCTCCAGGTGGCAGCAGTGCCACACCTCAGAGGCTCCAATCCCCTCTTCCCTGACTTTAAGTGTTAAAGCAATTGACCAATCAGTGCTAAGATGATGGGAGGTAATTGGGTAATTGTATTTTACTGATCACAAGCAGGGAAAGGGAAAGGAAAAGGGGAAAGAAAGAGGAACAGAGGAGGGAAGGCGACCGCAGTCCGAAAGGAGCTTTTGGAAGCTAGGACCCCAAGCGTCCGGACGTGGCACTGGCCGAGAGAGAGCCTAGGCTGCCAAGAGCTGCCGCCGGCGCTGTGAGAGCATTTATTTGGGAGAAAAAGAGGGAAGAGAGCAGAGGGAGTAGGGGGAAGAGAGTTCAAAGCGAAGTGGATGGAAGGGGACTGGGGTTTCTGCCGCGCGGGGAGCCGTGAGCCAGGGCGATGGCGCTAAGGACGGCGCGTAGCAGCTGCGCTCCCGAGCACGCGTCTCCTCGCAGAAGCCTAGCAGGCGTCGGGAAGGTCTGCGCCAACGGGAACCAACTTGTGGCTCCAACACGTACCCAGCGCAGCTGGAAATGAGATTAAAGCTGCAGTTGCGTTTCAGAAGGATGAGAAGAGCCAGCGATTAGGGTTTTTTTTTTTTTTTAATTTTTTTCTTACCCATTTCGTTCCTTTTTCTTTTTCTTTTCTTTTTTTAAATTTTTAGTGTATATATGTGTGTGTGTCTGTGTGTATATGTGTGTTTTAATTTGCCTGCCACCCCGTCTGTCCCCTCACTTCGCCCTCCCCATTTGAAATAAAAACCCCAGTCTCAACTTCCAACTCCGCGGCGCCCCCGGAGCCACGGCCGGCTGATGGAGGAGAAGGGGGCCCGGGGACTGGCAGGGGCCACCGGCGAGGGACCGCATTCTGCGTCTCCCCCGTGATCCCGGCCCCGACCGCGGAGTTCTGCAACACCTGGAGGATCTGGACCGGGTGCCGGGGGTGGGGGCGGGGACAGAGGAAGGAAAGGCACCCCAGCCTTAAAAAGATTTTTTAAAAAGTAGCCGGGGGGGAGGAATGGGTTTCTTCTTGACAGTTGACGGAGCCTTGAAATTTTCCTCCACTACCTCCGCCCCCGCCCCCGCCCCCGCCCCCCGCACTCCATTTAACGTGAGATTATGAAATTGCAGAGGCGGTGGAGGGAAGGAGACAGGATATAACCGGAGTTTGGAGGGGAGAGGAGAAGGTGGCTGGCCGGGTGGCTGAAATCAAAAATTCAATTGCGCACTGGGTTGTGATGAGAAATCTAATCAGATCTTTGGCGAAGGGGCCGGCCGGAAGGATGGAGAGTTGGGGGGAAGTTGCTCCCCAAATCCTTCGAAGGGGAGGCTGGGGAGGGGAATTGACGATGTAAAAGGAGACTTTTTTTTTCTTTTCCTTTTTTTTTTTTTTTTTTTTTTTTTTTTTTTTGGTGGTGGTGGTGGCGGCTGTTGGGTGCCTTGCAAAAATGAAGGATGCGGGACGCAGCTCTCTCCTGGAATCGAACGCAGTGGATAAACTGATTGTGCAAGAGCGAAAGAGGAACGAAGCTTTTTCTTGTGAGCCCTGGATCTTAACACAAATGAGTATATGTGCACACAGGGAGCATTCAAGAATGAAATAAACCAGGGTTAGACCCGCGGGGGTTGGTGTGTTCTGACATAAATAAATAATCTTAAAGCAGCTGTTCCCCTCCCCCCTGCAAAAATAAAAAAGGATGATTGGAAATGGAGAACGGAGGATTCACAAAGAAAAAAAAGTATGTTCATTTTTCTCTATAAAGGAGAAAGTAAGCCAAGGAGATATTTTTGGAATGAAAAGTTTGGGGCTTTTTTAGCAAAGTAAAGAACTGGTTCAGTGGTGTTTTCTTTTCTTTTTGAATTTCCCACAAGAAGAGAGGAAATTAATAATACATCTGCAAAGAAATTTCAGAGAAGAAAAGTTGACCGCGGCAGAATGAGGCATTGATGGGGGAGAGAAACCAGCAGAGCACAGTTGGATTTGTGCCTATGTTGACTAAAATTGACGGATAATTGCAGTTGGATTTTTCTTCATCAACCTCCTTTTTTTTAATTTTTATTCTTTTTGGTATCAAGATCATGCGTTTTCTCTTGTTCTTAACCACCTGGATTTCCATCTGGATGTTGCTGTGATCAGTCTGAAATACAGTGAGTGACCCTTATTTTCTTATTTATTGGTGAAGAAAATGTCAGTTGATTTGGTGTTCTTGGTCTCTGTATCCTCTCTCCCCCCTCCCACCCTTTTTTTTTTAAAGAACTAGCTATTGGGGGCCAGAAAATAAGGGAATGGGTGGCCACACATTTACTTCCTCAGTCTCTGCTCACCAATAAGCCAGTTTGCTATAAGGATGCAGGTTGACTGCATCCTAGGCAGATGCCTTTGCAAATGTTCACCAGGAAAAAAAAAAAAAAAAAGCTCCCCAAGAAAGCCGCTGCAGTGTGGGGTGCCAGTGCTGTGTGACTGACACTCTAGAATGCATTTAAGTTGCTTGTCAGCCCCGGAGTTAGATGCACAAATGTTTAGCTATTGGAAATCGAAGGGACTCAATTTAAATTTCATTATTCAACCTGACATTGCAGATCAACAGAATGTATTAACACAAAAATATGACAATAAACCAAGCAGCTGAAGGGTGACTTCTGGCTGGTGTGTGGGTGGAGGGAGAAAGGGTGGGCTTTGAGGGAGGAAGCTGGTGTAGAGAAGTGGCTGTAGTTTCCACAATGACTCTTGCATATACCTGCCTAGATGTGGTCTTCAGATTACCAGGGTTCACACCAGTGCTAAAAATGAAACAAGGGGGAACTGCTTCTCTCCAACTCCATCCCCCTTCTAACTGAGGACTTCTTTGGATTACAGAGAGGCTGTGTATAGACTGTAGAGGGCTTGAGCAGTCGCTTGGGTTTTGCCAGAAATCTTTCCAACATCACCAGTTCACAGCTCCTCAGAAAAAGGAAGAAATATCTAGTGTCCTGTGTTAACTTAGAAAAAGCAGCTGAAGAAGAGGTCTATGTCGAGCACTGATGCTTCTCATGTGCCAGCTTTGTCTTGGTAAAAAGAGGCCGATATAAAAAATAAAGCAGAAGGTGGAAAATGCTTAAAAAGTCTGAGCGCCTGTAGGATCGCCTCCCCTCCTCCCTCCTCCCCCATTGCTGCCAAAGTCATGGAGCTGGCCTTTTTTACAGAACTCTTCCCCTTCACTCTTCTCTATTTCTCTGTGGGGCCTTCTATCAGAATCATAGACTCATATAACTGTAGAGCCAGAAGACTCTCCAGAGATCTCATGTCAATAAAAAAAGGAAACTGAGGCCTAAGGAAGCTATAACTCTTTCATTAATGGCCAAACAGCACGAGACAGGTGATTCACACAAGCCTCAGAACAACCTGGCGAAAGTCAGTTTCGGATTCAAACTGGACAGGTATACATAGCATGTCTACTCTTGTATTTTTAGGGCCATTTTATAAGGAAGGGTCAAAGGAAGACATGCTGGTCCTGAGAGCTTGAAATAAAACTTCTGCCAGTCTAGACCTCAAGGGTTACAAACTCCAACATTCATTTTCTGTCTTCCCTTCCTCCTTTCTTCCCTCTCTCCCTCTTCCTTTCTTCTTTTCCTTTCTATAGCATAGTTTAGATAATCCTCCCTTGAATGTCATTAAAAAAAAAAGTAAGATCCACAACTCTGACATATCCCAAAGGAGATGAAAGGCAGCATTCTCCTGGGTCCCCTCTTAGCATTTAATCCCGTGAGTGGTGGTCCCTAGAGAGTTATTAAAGAACTGTAGAGTTCGATTTATATTAGAGAGGTGATAATAGAAACCAGAGACACCCAGCTGAAAGCATCTAAGCCTGTTCTTACACTCACATCATCTATTCTTATCCTTTTCATTACTCCTTAACTAAACTAGCCTACAGCTGAGCACTTCTCTAATTTATTTTTCTGGGCACATGTTTCCTGTCGGAACACAGATCAGGCAATAAATTTACCAACCTATGAAAATAATTGTGCAAAATGGTTTTATTCCCTGAAATCCCCATAGGCTTTGTATATATTTTCATAGTTCTCTGCACTTTTTAAAATATTTGTTTGCTTGTTTGCTTTGTTTTACATTACCACAGATATGTCACCATTTGTAGACATGAAATGACTCAAGTTATCTTAAGTTCCTGCTCAGCTGGAACTTAGCACAATGAAAAACATGGACTTTGATGCTTTTTCAGTTTTATAGTTCAGTTCCTGGCTTCACATGGGAAACCCAGCCTTGAAATTAGGTTGAGTCTGCCCATTGGAGGAGATTTTATTTTATATATATAATTTGTCGACATCAGATTTATTGAGTGCTGCTCTAATTAGATCCGTAAGCACATTCCTCTCCTTGACAGTGTCACCTCCCTCCTGTACCCTCCACAAGTAATGTACACATGCAACTTTCCTAAGAGAGAGAGAGGGAGAGAAGTGAAGAGAAAGAGAACCTGTTCAAAATTTTGGTCTGAAAAGTGTCCTCCCACCCCCTCCACTTATGGAGATAATGGGGCGTCTAAGGTGTCATCATCTTTCATACTGGCAAATCATTTCAGCAGCTCTATGGTTAGGAACCTATGGCCCACCTGGGGGTTAATGCCTTTGATTTCCTAGTCAGAGTTGGCCCTGCATTTTGGTTAGGCACTGATTTGTTTTAAACTGATTTGTTCAAAAACCCTGCATTTGTTCATGTACTATTCAGAGAATTAGGGTAATGACAGAGCTGGAAACTTACTTCATCAGTGGATGTCAGGGCCCAAGTTGGTGCCCACTGAAAGACATTTGAGTAAGCAGTTGTCTACCAGGATCTGCTGAGGACCCTGTGCCCAGAAAGCGGCTGGGTTTTACAAGTTTTAAAGTTACCTTTCCAAATACCGTCTAACTCAAATATAATAGCTGTACCCTTTGAGCAATACTTTTAATTTCCCTGGCTCTCCATTGTCTAGTCTGTGAGATGGGAATTATAATATGTAATTTGTCGAATTGTTGTATGGCTTAAAAGTAGTGTTATGCAAAGCTGAAGGCATAATAGGCTAAGGATAGCTGTTAGTTATGGTTATTCTTGGATTAACGTAGATTAATTTCCTGAGAATAACAGTCTGGCTAAGCATTTTAACAGGTTGAGCATCTATACGTGAAAAATAGGGATTGTGCAACTGATACAGTAGTTGCCAGGATCCTCATTTGAGGTCTTATCAGGACAAATTGGCTTAATCTATTATTTTAGATATAAAGTGCTGCCTCATGCTAGAAACTGTACATTCTGACTTTCTCCTAAAAGTATAGAAAAATGAATCTCAGCAAAAATCATACTTCAATGAAATTTTACAGGGAAAGAATGCAATTAATGTACTGTGTGTGCTTTTGGTCTAAAAGTTAGCCACATATTACATAGTTTGGACCTGGATGTACAGAATAAAGCAAATGTCTATGCAGTTATATAATTTAAAGTATATGGTCTAAAATTCTATTACTAATATGAAGGCCCCCAAAACCACAATTTGGATTCACAATTCTAGGCAAAATGAATGCTCTGTTCATTAAACAAAATATTTGCTTTGTGATAGGCTAAAGACTCATTAGAATACATAGAATGATGAAGATTTAATGCAGACATACACGTCATTGTTTACATGTGCAATTCTTCCCACACCAGTGGTTTTCTAAGGCCGGCAGCCATGGTCATTGCTCATAATTTTATTCTCTACAGTAGCAGCCCTGTTCTCTATTTCCTTAATATTCTTCCAGAGACCTGTTTTGCCCTTAAGAGAAAAGGAGTCCTACTGTAGTAATTGTTATTCTTAATGTCTTATCTGTCGATGATAAGAGTGCAGTTAGGCTTGAGAGATACCCATTGGCTTCTCACCTTTCTTTTCAATGAAAACAATTTGAAATCTGTGTGAATATTGGAAAAGCACTTGAAAGTTGACCATTTTCATTGACCCATAGAAGAGATAGAAATTGTCTATGAAAGTTCTTGCCATTTGATAAATTTTACTTCTTTGCATGCTTCCTAATGGTGAGTAAGAAATTAGGTGAAACTTGGACTCTAGCATCTTAAGTGAATTCAAATACTCAGCTTCCCACTGGGTCACGTGTGTTACATGCATCATTTAACCTCTCTGAACCTGTTTGCTTATCTGTAAAACAGAGGTAATAACAACCGCATGGAACTAACTACTGTGAGGATGATATCAGATTGCATATGCCACGCACAGCAAGCATTCCATAAATGCATATTTAAATGGATCATCTCTGATTTTAGTTTAGATCTGCAGAAAAACAGATATGGACTCCATTGGAGGGAAGCTGTTACTCTAAGTTCACATTGGCATAGATTAAGAAAGAGAAATATATAGACCGGATTAAGGTTGGAATAACACATAAATAGATATGACCATTTTGAGCAAGACCCTGCCTTTTTAAAATATATTTAGAGGTGACTTACTGAATGCCATTCCCTCAGTAAGGATTGAAATATACTTTGTGAATTGTGGAAAATATACTCTGTGTCCATGTAAACTTTGGTTAGAATGTGAACTACTTTATAATACAGGCATAAGAACATGAATGATATGTAAATGGTATTTCAGAAGATTCCCTAAGAAGGTCAGGAATCTGTTGCATCTTTCTTTTCTTCAAAATAATTTTTATGGAGAAACGTTTATTTGACCATTGAAATTTAATTAGGCTGATCTTGTGGCTGTGACAACGTGCTTATAACATTTCCTGAATGCAAGTGTTTTGTTATGTCCTCAGTTCCTCAGAAGAATGACTGGAAAATAGTATGCATGCAATAAATATGGCTTGAATGAACTTGGTTTAAGAAACACCTCCACATATTTGAAATGCATGCACATACAAGAGTGTATGCAAACACACACAGGCACACACATACATACCAGAAGCCTAGCTTTTGGGAATTTATAGAAGCTTAATAAGAAAAGCCAATGAGCATACTAAGTACACACACACACACACACACACACAGGCACACACACACAGACACGCACACACACAGAGTAGCATTAAGTTGCTCCCTTATGTTGGAAAACCTGTCTGAAAGTCACGTGATGCAGTGTGTTATTATTATTCTTGGTGTTGTCGTTACTGAACTGTGACATTTTGTG